GACCATCAGTTTAACATATATACTTAAGATTCTGGTAAGCCTCTACGGCCATCAGTTTAAACATGTATAAAGCTTTCTTTCATCAAAATTTAAGGAAAATCTCTAAAGACACTTTATACTTCATGCAAATATAATGAATAACAAGTTTATTTGAAAATTAAATTCATGTAAAAACAACTTCGCGTAGGGATCCTACCTTAGCTCGTGGTGATGAGGAAGTCCTATGTTGAACCGAGTTCCTTCGTATTTGATATTAAAATGACTGACACGAAAGCATCAAAATTTTCCCTGAATTTTTTTACTGATGAGTGTTTTAGAATAGCGTGAAAATATGTGCTAATTTATCCTAGTATTCTATTGAATGTGGCAACTAAAGTCTATTATTGAATTAGATGTCTAATTGGACTAGGGCTCCCATTCATCCTTAACAACCTAATTAACATAAATTATCTTTAATTATTATAAAATAGCATCCTAATCTTTATTGCCCTACACGTGAACTAGTTTGATCCAAAATGTTTTTTTTTTTTTCAATCCTATGTAGGACTCTATCTAACATTTTTAATTTCACCAAAATTCACATGGGGCCAACATAAACTAATCCAAATTTTGGTTTGTCATCCTAATCTCACAAGAAAACAATAATAATATAAAATTGAAAATTAAAAGATGAAATTAGTTGACACACGTGGCTCCAACTAAAGTAACAATTAAATCCTTAATTAATTTTAATTAAGCATGTGGATTTATTATTATTATTTTATTATTATTTTTTTTGAACATCAATATCATGGGCCAAACTTGTCTGAAATGACTTTTTCTCGAGTACAAAGTTCATCATTTAATGTGAACTTCGAAACAAGCCCAATATCGATATGAAATTTCTCGCTCGAAGAATACTTGATTATTTGACGGAAAGTTAAAATTTTGACACAAAGACTTATTTTTAAATTTGTCCCTTGGTATCTTGACTGATGAAACATGTCAACATGAAATAGATGAAAATTTATTTTAGGTTGCTACATCCGAAGCCCTCAGTAGATACTATGTGGAGGCACTACATGCAGATATTGAAGCAGTCAACAGTCAAAGTAAAGATTGGTCGGTCCCTTGCCGAAGTACTCTCTCTTTCAACAGAGCCTCTGTCTACTCGAAGTCCACCTCTTATGCCTAAGCACTTGTTGCCTTTAAAATG